CGATTGGTAGAACACTTCGTGGTGTTTGTTTGTTATGTCATGTATTCGAACGGCTAGCTATTTTTTTTTTCAACGAACAGTTTGAATATTTATAGATTTTGAAAAAAACAATAAATCTACAAATCTGCAGAAAAAGTAAATAAAAATATACTATCTTGTTCCACTCTCCTGTTACTTTTGTTTTTGTGTACAAAAACAACGGCAGATACGGAGAAAAATATTTTCCCATTTTAAACAATAGATACTTCAGCTTCAAAATATTATGATCGCTAGAGAGAGAGAGAGAGAGAGAGAGTTCTAGAGAGGCAGTTTTTAAATTAAAAAAATCGCTATGTAGATACAAATTTAGCAAAGCTTTTTGAAATCCAAAAGTTTTAAAAATCGTATCCCGTCTGAAAAGTGACAATTCGATTTTCCGTCTTTTTGTCGTCGTGCGGAAACTTTTCTCTCGGCGTTACGTAGTCGGTTCGAAAAATTTCTGAAGGTGAAAGCGGAGGGAGAGAGAGAGAGAGGGGGAAAGAGAGAGAGAGAGAGAGAGAGAGAGAGAGAGAGAGAGAGAGAGAGAAAGAGAGAAACCCGACGAACGCAGGAGAAGAGAGAACACGATACAGGCAGAGAAAAACACATAGTCTGCCGTTCGGTATATCCGGACCCTCCGTAGGGTAGCTCATTAGAAGTCTCGCCCTTTGAAAATCGTTCTGCTATACGAGCAGCTGCCCTGCGGCACAGCAACGGATGGTTACCAGCGGGGCGCCTACCTGGAAAGTTTAGACATCAAAAGTCTTCTCTGCCAAAAATTTCTCTTAGTTATATGTTGGGACTCTTCTAGGTCACATCGTGACTTAAAACGACAAAACGTCCGTCTTATCACTGAAAAAGACAAGCTATATCTGCAAGAAAAACTGTCGAAGTTTTCTTTTGCATTTATTGAATATTGGGAGACAAAAAATGTTACGCCAAGAGAAAAAGAAGCTTCTTCTACAAAACGTTTTTTTTTTTTTTTTTTTTTTTATGAAAAGACGTGAAAGACAACGTAAGACGATTTGACAAATACGAAATTGTGCTTTTCAGGCGTGTAAGATAAAGAAACATGGAACACTTGTTCGGTCTCGAGAGACAGTTGCATTAATCAACTTTTAAATGACAAAGAAAATCTTTTGTGCAACGCGTATCACAAACCTGAAATAAATTTCGCATTAAAAATACAATTCTTATAAAAAAAAAAAAACTTGTTCTTCTATTTCCCGTCCGCTCGCAAATTCTTTTCACGTACTTACATAAATCCAACCACCCTCTTTGAAAAACAAGAAAAAAAAAAGAACTCGAGATATACTGTGTGTGTATTTTTCCCTGTCCGATATGTACGTCCCTGTGCCACGCTTTAATGTTCCGTACATCCTGCAGGGACATCGCTCAAAGGGACGACAAAGAGCCAGTCGGCCGTGAGCTCGAAGGGCAGCAACCCTACGGAGGGAAAACGAGTTTCGCTGTGCTCCTGCATTCTCAATGGGAGTCCGGGGAATATTATGCTGAAAAATTCAAGCGTGAACTTTTACCTGAACTTTTTCTCGTAGAAAAGCTTATGCTGTGAACAAAAAATAATATAAAAAAAAGTATATTAAAAAAAAGTAGATAACAATTTTTATTTCGGTTTTTCTTTCGGATTAAGAAAGAGATCGCGTGCGATAATATATTATATCCCTCTTTCTCTCTCTACAATAACCGAGTTTTGGCAAGAACTGACACGAAAATTAACGTTAAAAAAAAAAAAAGCAATTAATAAAAATCAATATTAATTACGTTGTTATTCAAACGCGCACCGACGCAAAACTACACGGTTTTGCAACACGTGCGCATCCGATATATATATATACATTTTCATTTATTTCAGATCTGATTTATTCAAGTGTGATTTGTCCCATTAGCAGATTAGCAGATCCCTAACGCAATGCCGTGGTATCCATTGATATTAGTTACGGAACTGGCGTGGTTATCCGAGTTTTTTCATGTTAAAAAGCGGGTGTTTGTGCTCGTTTATTGACGCGGAAAGACGCTCACACCACGCTCTCTACCTACCTACCACCAGCAGCTCCGTTTCGTTCAGTGACCCTCGAGGCCGCGATCGATATGTACGCGTACCCAGCTATACACAACGCGGGTTTCAATTATATAAACGGGTGCACTCCCATATCGCGCGCCACGACGACGCGACACACGTCCCGTCGTCGTCGCTTATCACGAGAGCAACAATTAACACATTTATTTACGTACCTCGGCAACGTGTCGTTGTCGATCGCGATTAGCATTACACGGAATATTGGCTGCATAATTTACACGTCATACGGCCACATTATTGATCATCTGTTGTGCGATTCCTTGCGCATATCGTTGCTTGTATGCTTAATAATTTAAATAATATAATTACCCCGTACGTAAACATAGACGATTATATTACGTGCGTGCGTGGGCTCGCTTGAAATATGTAATCCCTTCCCCCAATTATCGATTCAGCTGTTTAGCAACAAGCCAAACTTCCTGATTCGATTGCGATATTAGCAGCGTTGATTTTATTCTCGAAATAGAAGAACGAAGGTTTAATGCAATTATTGATCAATAATCAAGTTAGTTAGTTATTTATCGTCAAATGCATTTGCATCAGACAAATGTGTATGGAACATATATGTGTGGAAAATTGACACAGCAAATTCTGTTATCAGGCCAGCGCAAAAATAATTGCGGTTATTTAATAAGTAATTTATTAAGTAAATAATTAATTTGATATAAATAATTTATTAAGTAACAAAACGTATTTGTTGCGCCAACCTGTTACATAATTATTTATTAAATAACAAAAACCGCAATTATTTTTGCACCAATCTAATAATTCGCACACATGTAAAAGATATTAAAGTTTTTGAAAAAAAGAAAAAAAAAAAATTCACAAGCGTGCCAATATAATTTTTGCGACGAACAATTAAAATGCCAAAGTTTACTGCAATTGTTTTACTTCAAGCTGTCAAATCAAAGTCTGTTTAAAGAGCAAGAAGCAAATTTTACGCGATTAATGTTTCTCACTAAAGAACAATTACAACGTAACAAAGTATTTCACATACCTACGTTAAAACTCGAGGAAAGTCACGGCGGAAAAAACTGTTGTGTTCGCATCTAAAAAAAAAAGGATTCCCAACGTACACACACGTACGAAATAGAAACCGAAAACGCTCGGGCGAATATATTGCGCTTTTCCACATTCTACCACGTGTCGTTTTATTTTTGCACACGCACGCATGCACGTGGCTCGTACGTCCGAAACAAAAATGAGCAGCGCAACAGACGTGTGCACACACACCGCGCACCCAGACTCTTACATGCGTCATACGTACGTACACACGTACCTACGTATATGCGCGCGTTTACATGCATAAGTATACCATTGACCGGGATATCCTCTATCGCCTGTCTCGGGATGAATGAACCGTTACGTCATGCACTTGTACTCACTGGTCCCCTTCCGCAACCCTCCTCCACCTCTTCCTCTTCCTCGTTCTCGTCCTCCTCCTCGTAACCCTCCCGCCTCCCTCTCGCCTACCTACCCATCTGTTTCTCTTTTAGCGGCTTGCATTATACAAGGTGCAGCATAAGTAATGGCCTCGCTCGAAATAGATCGATTTGATCCGCGCGCGTCCGCATACTTTTCTTCTGCATCCTCGAGAAGTCCTCGTGTCGTTTCTTTCACAAGAAACGGCTGACTCGGGATCTTTTAAAGAATCCACGAGTATTTCCGACGAAAAACCGCACAAGAGAGCTCGATAATCTCGAGTGACGGTTTGGTTCTCAGAGTCCTTGGCAGAGGACTTTTCGATTCGGAGATTTTTAAACTTTTTGTCAGTCCTCGATTGTCAATCCAAAGAATTCTGGTGGATTCTCCGGATTTTCGACGTTCAAGATGTTTCATGATACTTCGCGCGCCTTGAGATCCTTCGTTCCTGGTTGTTTTGTTTCGGGCGCGTCTTCGCCGACAGTCGCGAACTTCCAAATCCCTGGGTATGTAGCCAGTGCGGGCTTTCCTTCGTCTGCGTATCTTTCTTTATCTCCATTATCCATCTCCGTCCAAGTGAGAGAGGACCGTATCTTGCGTCGCGCGCAATACGACACACAGAGAGTCGTCTCTCTCCGTTTCCCTCTCTCCCGTTCCGCTCCTATCGCTCTGGCATCCTTCCACATTCATCGATTAGCACAACGGCGGAGCACACGTCTATACATTCGACAAAGGTCGATGTATCCCTCAGACGGCTCAGACGCTCGGCAGACGTGTTGACTGTAAAACACAGCGGGGGAGGTGAGAGGAGAGAATGAGAAAGAAAGAGGGGAAAGAGGGGTAACGGTAAGAGGAAGAAGGAAAAGGGAAATGGCGTTGTACTACTGATACACTTTTGTTCCACACGTCCCTTTAAACGCACAGATGAATGCCCGGCGTATTGATGCGGTGATCGCGTTCCGAATATATCATCATCGTATTCCAGTTTCGTTCTTTATTTCAATCTTTCTTCTTCCCTTGCTTTTTGGCTAACAAATTGACTTTTCTAAGATTCTCTTTTTTTCACACTATTTTTGTAATTTTGCACACAAGTGCTACCTCTCTGAATTAATTATCGAGTATAATTTTGTCGTGTACAAAGTATACAAGTTCATAAATCTTTAAAATGTCTTAGTGTTCATAATAAATTCACAAAATATAATTAACAAAATATTGAGAATTGTGACATTATTTAGAGCGGAGAGAACTAGTTGTAAAAAAATTAGTTTAAAACAATCACAGAGAGGTATGAACTTGATTTCATCAGAAAAAAAAAACGATAGGCTTGAATATTTTGCCAACGCGTATTATATTCCCTTTTTTCTTCTGTTATATAATTTTAATATCCTATAGAGTTACGAGAACATAATATTAAATAAATCAATCTTATAATTTATATGAGTTATATTTACAACGTGAAAAAAAAAAGACATATATTATATATATTTATATATAGAGGATGCATCTTACATTTTATAAGTTTGTTTTTTACACTTATCCTTCTAGAATGGTCTCCCTGGGTTCTCTTCCTCCTGTGTCTTTTAGATTCGGATACAACTTCGCTTTAAGGCCGTCGCTGTTAATTCTGCCGTGAAAGTCCGGTTTTCTGTCTTTCGGAGCGCTACGGTGCAACCAGATATCCAAAAGACTCTTTCCGGTGATACCTTTGTGCAACTGCTTGCTCAAAGGCACTGACACGGTGGCAGGTGGTGACATAGGAGAATCTGTCGTCGCTCTGATCACACTGACTCGGGCACTTCCGTCTTCTTTGCCAAAGCTGAAAACATCCAATCTTCAGTTTTGTTCACATGTTCGAACAACAAGTCTAATATTTGAATATTTCTAAATATTAAAAGATACTTGGAACGTTTTGACGAGAGAATATTTAATTACCCATCTAACTCCCGTAAAGCTTGATCGAGTTCCACCTTGTCTTTGTCATCTTTGTTTCTAATCTCCAGCAGACAATTGAGCACTTCAGAATGCGCGACTGAATTGTTCGCGTGACACTTGAGAAATGTTTCTATTTCATCCCACAACAAACGATAGTGCTCCTCTCGACGTGTTCCGCCTCCTTTTCCACCACGACCTCCACCGATGCTGGGTAACGGCAAAGTTTCATGCTTCGCTTCCAGATTGAGCAAGCTAAAGATCACTTGCTTGCATTGCATCACTTCCTCAGCGGTCAGATTTTCTTTCACTATCAATTCCGGAAGCGGTTCTATCACCTACATGAGAAATTTTAAAATAATGTTAATTTACATAAAAATAATTCAAATTATTAAAACAATTGAGGATTTACTTGAAGTGTGTAAAAGTTTTTTCACTTTCAATTTACTTACATTTGGCTCTCAAAAAAATATTTATTTTAAAGCAATAAATATATAATTTAAAAGTATTTATTTTAAATTTCTCTTATTAAATGAAATTTTTCGTTGTTAATACTTTCAGTAATACCAACCTGTTTTAAATTGAACATAAGAGTACTAGATATCGTCATGGGCCAGTACTTAGTGTGACGTTCCAGTCGAAATCTCATCTTCTCTACCGGACCGTCATTGGAAGTGGAACCTTGTTTCAGCGGTACCAGCATGTTGTTTCGCATAAGAGCGCCAAAATCCTACGACAAAAAATAATATTAAATCGTAATATTTATGTACTTTCTATCGTGAGAAAAACTATTGCACGTATAATGCAAATTCTACTAGCGTATTTGTTGCGAGACAATAAATGTGTTCAATGTTAATTTACAGAGATCTTCTAAATATAATGTTATACACAATAGAAATAACGCGCGAGATATACTTTTGACAATAAATGAGTACATTAGTAATTAAAAAAACTTCTTACGGTTATTCTGTAATCGGTGACACGTCCGCCACAACCTTCGCTGATAGATGGTGGATCTTCTAGCACGCTTCTGGCAGTGGACAGAGTGTGAATGAAAATTTCGCCGCCGTGCGCCGCCAGCAAGTGGGAAATAGTCTTTCCACCTGTCTTTCTTGCCATTTCCAACATAACTGATCTACCATTTAGTAGAAAATTAATCAAGCATGACGACGGTCTGCTATTAACATCTACCGGCGTGATTCGGTGCATCACCGTGCAGTACTGCATCTCCGAGGCGCTGCAGCCACGCGGTGTGCACCACTTTAACGTGACCGTCTCGTACTCCGATCCTTCCTCGAACCGTCGAAAAGTCTTTATCAACGATGAATCCGATGAATTTCCTGCAAAAGAAAGCAAAAAACAACAACAAAACTTTAATTCACAATTTACTGGGTGTCACGTAAAAGAAAAGTCTGACAATATTTTGGAAACCTTTCAAGATAGCTGAATGCGCAGCAGAAGAATGAAATATCTCCACGTCATAATTCGCAGACGAGCTGGCGTTTTGTTCCTCCTTCATAGGTATACCCGTCACCGTAGTGCTGGCTAGATCATAATGAGACAAAATCAGATGGGACAGTTTAGAGTGGAGAGCGGAAGCTTTGATTGAATGCACTTCTACTGTCAGCAGAGGAGATACCTGCATAAAAATTACTTTGAACAGAACTTCAAATGAAGCAGACACTACGCATAAAATCTCCAAAAAGTTTGTACGTTCTTTCTAAACTCTACTGTACAATTAATTGAGAGATAAAAAATATAACTAAAGATAAACTAAAGAATTTTTTAATTGTATAATGTTACGATATATAAAAACAAAAATAATAAAAATATATTGTTAGAAACGTACCTCCCGAGGGGGTTGAGAAGTAACTTGAGATTCGATGTTGTTAGGACTAATATTCAGGATGACTAAATGGCAATAATCGATAGGTATCAAGCTGCAAAATCCGAGCAACAACAAAAATTAGAATTTTTATTGCATAACACAATTCAAGAAAATATCTAAAATAAAAACACTGACTTATCCGAAGCTAATGCAGTCTTATTCTCCTGTTCCAATTGGTTCAAAAATATATTCTCCAAGCTCTTCATGTTACTGTTGTCTCGTGCGCTTGTTATGCATATTACCCTGCCTCTGTTCATTACCAGCTTACTAGCATTCTCGTTCAGAGAGGTTCTTTTTTCATGTTGTATTTCTGTACATTCGTTCAAACCTTCTATCGCAACTCTTAAACCATGTACAACTGAATAGTCCTCTCTTGGTTCTGGTGTCTTGGTGGGCACTCCCAAAATAGCAGTTCCATTCATAATCTATAAGAGGTAAACCCACTTAAATATACACATAACCACACATAAACACACTTAAATTCTTATAATTAGTCTTTTATATATATTTTACAGTTTTTTAATATTCTTACACACATATTACTAGTAGTCATTGATATAAAAATTAAAAGCTACCGCTTACATGAGCTAAATTCTGTTGCAACGGGCTCCATGAGTTTAGCAAATAAGCTGCTCGATCTGTCACAACAAATCTTATCTGAAAAATGAACAGAACAATGTGCGATGATGACAATAACATCAAAATATTAAACTCTGTACTGACCAGTTTGCCTGCAGGAAAAAGATCCCACACAATGCGACAGTACTCCAACGAAGCTTCGACACTGGTAGTCCACAAGGATTTTGAAACCGGAGCAAGTGGTATCAAATTCTGTCCTCTGCTTTTGAAAAAGTCAAACTCCAACGGACATTCAGAAGAAATGCCGAAATACGGAGTGTGATCCAGAACAAATACAGTTTTGTGATTCGCAGGATACATCTCTTGTATATTTTATTATACTTAAAAATAAATTACATTTCTAAATAAACAATGCTCCTTTGCGTTCCGGTTGTCAGTATTTTGAGGTTATAAATCACTTACATAAATCGATATATTCCATAGTTCAAAAATATAATATCACAGTTCTTCCTTTTATTTAGTAATCCACGCGTACTATAACTTTTGAAACTTTGTGAATAAAAAAGGACATCTCCGAAGCTAAATTTCGACATTCACCGCCAATTTGCGCATATAGAGAACAAGCAAAGCGGACAAAGTGGGGATAACGTTGCGCGCGAAACACTTTGCTGGCAACCAATGGGTGTGGAGTTGAATGGCTTTCTAATAAAAATATAAATTCTAAAAAAAATTATATGCGAAACGGACGAGTTTTTTTGTGCGAACCGATTCTCTTCTCTCAGTGAGTCCGAAAAAAGAAAAGAATCGGTCAGGATCGGCCTACTGGTCTCGCGGATTGAATGCAGGGTCTGCGAATATGGAGATCCCGAGTTCGAATTCGCTCACATCATCTTTAAATGTTTTCCGATCCCTTTCAATCAAATTGATCGATTGATTGACGAACTAAATCGGGCCTCTAATAATTTTGAATTCGAGTGTATATCTCGAATTTAATAATCCCGATCTTACAAGGCGGTTACAGTCATATCAGCCTTGAGCCACATACAAATTGAACAGAATCCAACATAAATACGAAATAGTATTTAAAAAGTGTGCAAAAAAAAGTAAGCAATAACATGAATATAAATTAGCTTACGTTCATGTAAATTAGACGATAGAAAGGAAAAGATTTAGTGCCAGTAAAAAAACGTTTTTTTTTTTTTGGAAGGAATGAGAATAGATGTATATCAACTGTTATACACTTTTGTTGTATACGTACAAAAAATTTTATTTAACACCTCATCAAACTAAATTTGTGCGAAAAGACTTAAATGTAGTTTTTTGTAGTATAAAAATACTTTGTACGAAAGAAGCATATACTCTAAACGCTACTAAAAGAATCGCTATCGAAATCATCGGATTGAACTCAAATTCATCGCTGTATATATTTCAAAATGATTTCTTTTGTCACATAGTCCTTCTGTTTTATAGCTTTGATATAACATTTGATATAACATTTGTACCTACTAATGCGCAAATCTTGAGCTAGAAAAATAAAGCATACGTATATCTTAAAAACATGTTCATGGTACGAGAGAGGATGGAAACGGCTATTGTTACAATCGAGCTACTCTTAATCTTATTATTGTACACATAAGATTACCCTGTTTAATATAAACAATTATCAAAGAACGATAAAAGCAAAAGAGTAAGATAAGAGATCATGGATGGCTCGAGTGAACGCAATTCTTCAGAATTTTTCATGATTGAACGCGAAAGAATTTGTCTTATTTTAGCCCGGATAAATGTAATTTTTCGGAATTAAATATTCCGACAAGTTACAGTTCGCCACACAAGTTGTTGCGCTTTTTACACTTAGCAATACCAATTATAGTAACACCCATCGCGTCGCACGTTATGGCACATTTGTAACAGAGATTTGCAATCAATGTGTGTTGCGCATCAGCAGACGAACAAGTCAAAATGTGAGGGGAAAAAAAAAAAAAAACAATCATCAAGAAAAGAACTAATACTGATGTCCGCTTATCGTTTAACGATATTAGGAACTTGAAGCTGATGCGTCTCGAGTTGAAAGATTGATAATCGCAAATTCACACACAAATTACAAAAATAGTAAATAGTAATCAAGTCAAAAACACACGAAGATACTTGAGCGGTAAGACTCGAGTATTGAGCAAATCAACGCCACACAATTACAAACCATTTTCTCAACTACAAAACGGCAAAACAATGTCCTCAGATCTTACTGCTCAATTTTTTTCGTGTTCCTCAACTTTGTCATACAATATTGACCGGATATTGTGTGTGAAAAATGCAGATGATATGGAATATCTTCGAAAGAATAACGTCAAACGTCATTATATATTGAACTTCTCAGCTTAAAATTATCGTTACACACTCTGGTAACTTCTGGTGCTTATTCTGACATTTAACGCTAATATAAAAAATCACGCGGACAGGCACACTTTGATTTACGTCACTTGCTTAAAGAGTCGACAATTTGGCTCTGTAGCGTCACAATGCTATTAAAAAAGTTCGCTATCTGACGCGATCTTTTGTTCAATAAACACATCTTCTCTGTGTCATTGGGTCTGTTAATATGCGGTAACCGCGTGCTCTTTACATTTCATACGATACTTACAAACACTCGAGTTCTTTTAGAAACGACGTATCTCCAAGATGCCTGTTTTGCATTTCGTTGCGAAACGTCGACATGCACCTTCTTATTCGACACTGTGTTCTCTGTGACACACGTGTTTACTCGATACTTAATCTATACTGGTCGATATAACTATAAATTTATTTATAATTTCTTATAAAACAAAAAGAAATCAATCCAGACTGTAAGATCGTCCTGTAAATGTTTGACTTCACTTATGTCTTAAATGTATCTTCGTAATCTTAATACAAAAATACAACCTGTTATATATATATAAAAAAAAAACTCAAATATATAAAAAAAAAACTAAAAACGATGAGGTTTTGCAGATTTGGCATTAAAAAGAAACGCAAGTGTGCAAAGTTTACAAGAAATATAACATATTCTGTAGATGATTTTCCGGCGCCTTGTGAACATATCTGCTAATCAAGAATGCCAGTTTGTGAGCGTAATGACAAGGCGCTGGCACCCTGACAGTATTTGAACAATTATAATACATATGTGTCAGTTTGAACGTCAGACGTTGTATTTTGTCTGGATCCAAACCGATATTCGAGTCGATAATGTTGTACGAGGTGGGCGTCACCGTGCCTTGTCGCACCTGTTGCGAAACAATAAAGAAGTCATACTTCATCGGATCAGTTATAACATCGTCAACTATCGTACCCGGAACGGGATTATTTTTGTTATTGAACAGTCGCGTGTTCAACCGTTTTGTCACGACTATAAATGCAAACTTATAATTTTGGCCGTTATACGAGCTTGTATACAAGCTGTCGAGAGCTTTCCTTATCTGTTTGACCTCGCGTTCCTGAACTTGCGGTATCTGACCCTCACCGACACCGTCGCGATAAACAACGATACGATTCGGTGCCACATTGTTGATTCTATGATACATCTGCACGGCTTTGCAGACGTTTTTGCACAGATCCTTCGACAGTTCGTCGCCGTCGCTATGTGACGAAACTGTACTGTAGTATCTTGTCATTTGCTTGTCCATGGACGCCACCATTGCACCTGGCAAAAACCACAAATCGATTAGCGTTTTTAACTAATTTTGCTACAAGAATGTAAATTCAAATTCTCGCGACTTTTATTCGCGCAAAATTTCACAAAGTTCGAGGATACTCACCGAAATCTTTAGACCTGTCAATCGTGTCATGACTGACATCGAAACCAATGATCATCAGTCCGTCTAATGGTATATCTACGGTCCATGGTGCACCACCCAATTTACAGTTCATTTGTATCGCTATCTTTGTGGCGATAGACATGATATTCCTGTGGCCGAGAGTTCTCTTCAAACAGACCTGTGACGGCACAGGGCGATCTACGCAGCACTTTTTCTTAATCACGGAGTAACGATCGCTGCGATTGTTCGAAGCAACACAAAATACTAGCTGCGGTATTTTTTTACTTAACAGACTTTCCAAAAACATGTTGTAAGTATTTGCACGGTCGTCGGAGATAGTGCATACTCTTGGCTCAGCTATCCTGAACCTTACACCTTCCGCTACGTTTCTCAGCGTTGGAACAAATCTCTGAAATAAAATGTCAAGTAAACCACAATCGATCACATTCTCATAGAATATATTTACACATATGTATACAATTTAAAATACTATAAAATAAAGCTTTTTGTAGTACCTCAATGTCTCTTTTGTCTCTCTCCGAAACTATTAGCACCCAATCTTTCAACTCTACCGAAGTCAAGCAAGTCGTATTCTGCATCTCTCTCGTCCAGTCGCCATTCGTAGGTTTTATCTGTCTGCGGTGACTGTCTCTTGCCGGCGGCCCAAATGTAAGTGTCTCAGGTGGCAGTAAACGCCCGGGAATTTCGAGCAACTTGTTGTCTAATTGCAAGTTCCACTCTTTAAATTCCTGTTGAATCTCGGGCTTACTGTTCAGTCTTCTATTGAATTTCAATAATTTATCAATACGACTTTCTGGGCCTAATCGCGTATACTGAGCCAAAGCTTGCATAAGTTTGAAATTTTCTCTCATGTCATCTGTTAAGCCTGAAAATTACAATACACGTTCTGTAACACGAATTCTTTCTCGCAATAAAGTCTTTGTATAAGAAACGTTTCTTCTTACTGTAGAAAACTGAAGAAAAAAAAAAAAATAGCCGGAGGCGAAAAACACAAATCAACTTTTTGAATGAAGAGTACGGAATAAACAACAAATTAAACACTGCCGATAAGACTTTAAACTTTTGCAGGCTGTACCTGTGGCATTACACAATTCTGGCACTAAATAAATGAGATCCGCTGGTCCGCCCTGTCGAACTCTTACTTTTGATTTCGCCACTAACATCGGTTGATTAGGGTTTGTTATGTCGCGGCCGTATTTCTTTTTGTAGTATTGTATATATGTTATTTTTTCGTTATTTTTCAATGTAAACTGAGACGCAGGAGTTGTCTTGAAGTCCACATCGTCGATTGTATAGGTATTATTGTTGTATGCGGTAAGAACTACCGTGTTGATCACAGCTTGGCTAAAAGCATCCTGCACACAAACACAGACTTATATATCTACTAATTATATACTTTTAGTTTTATTTTAACAATATAAATGTAACACATGTAGAACTGTTAAAATGTAGACACTTGCGATAAGTGCTACAGCAAAAATATCTAAACCAAATTCTATGTAAAAACAAATGTGTCAAGAGAAAGAAAAACTTCTTGTGAAATTGTGTACTTACTTGATAGCGGTTGCCGTATCTCTCGCGTATTTCAAGATAAATTTCATGCAATGTTTCTGATCGCATAACTTTGCTCGATATTTCTGCACACATCAAAATGTCATTCTCGTGCTGACGAATAGAAGTTATGTATCCTGGCCACACTTCCATTTTAAATGTAGGTATGCTAATCTGTGTTACACAATTAGATTTATTTTACTGATTACATAAATTTTCTCTGATGCTAGCCGCGAACGTATACGCACCTTCTCATGGGGATCGTAAAAATTGCGACCAACCAGCTTCAACTTGAGCTGTTCGTAACACTTCCGCATGATTATATTGAAAAATTGAAGATAGTGAGAATCACCCCGTACCATATCGCCAACAGACCGAACGGTGATTGTTATGATTTCTTGATCGGATTCACGTTTCGAAGTGAGGACTTGCTACAATATTTCAGATGGTGTACGACGATTTCCAAACGGTCGCGTATAATAAGTGAATAAATAATATGTACAAGGTCACACATGTACGTAATATTACTTACATCTTGTAATCGATTAGATGAGTACATTACAGTGCCGTCAAAGATATACATGCCGAGAGCCTTTTTGTGTACTTTAAGTAAACCTTTGCGAACAAAGGTGTTATCCTCTTCAGGTGCAAAATCCACGCGATACTGATGAAGAGACCAGTCAGTTGCCTTAAGTACTTTGTAATAATTAGCGTACAACCTTATAGCTTGTCCAGTTACTCCTAAATTAATTTAAAATGACACGATTTATTTAACTTACAATAATATAATTTACATCTTTATGATGAATAAGAAACTACCCAAGTTGAATTCTTAAATTATTACTACTCACCTTTCTTACTATCCAAATCTTTTGGTCTTGTAGGTTTTAGAATATCACCAGGCAAAGTTCTGTTGCCTCTGCTCATACCTCTTCTACTTGGTTGCATGGCACCAGCATCGCCACCTCCATCTGATAAAAAAACAATCTGTTATTATATTTTATCGTTTTTATACTATGCTAATCTAAAATTAACTTAACATCAAACATACCTCCGGATACTGTCAGTTTCTCAAGTCCTCTGCCTATTGTTTGAACTCCAGACGCATCGCCTTTCTCGGTATGATGTTGCGAACCACGTCCTCCACTTGTCTATCACAATATTCAGTTCCATTATAAACGACCATTATTACCAAAAAATTACTATTAATACTGTTTGCAATAATATCAGTAAACGTAAGTACTTATTTGTGACAAATATTGACCGGTATGTAAATATAATATGGTTTTACAATATTTACAAAAAACAAAAAAACAAGAAAGAAGCAAACTTTATTTAGTATATAACAGCTTGATAAAGCTGACATTCATGTATCCTTACTGAAGGAGTTGCAGTTGCAGATTGTCCTGGTCTGCGAAGTTGCTCGCTGCTTGCTTGAGCATGAGGAAGTTGTCTCTGTCCAGAACTCTGCTGTTGTTGACTGCCTGCACGTCCGCGGCCAGGTTGGCCTCTAGATTGACTACGCATTTTGCAGTCTCGGTACTGAAAATACATATTCAATTTTAAACTAAATAATTAACAGAAGTAAACAATCAGAATATAAAACTTAAAGAGAACTCTAAAGACACAAAAGAAAAAAATATCTTACAAATATATAATTTATAAAAATAACCTTATTTAATATAACGAGATATAGTGAGACGGAGGCAACAATTGTTTAAAACTTTTAATTTATTTTTATTTTGCATCATCAGATTAACATACAAAAAATATGAATTTCATTTTCATAAATTAGTAACACAAATTAGCAATCAATAAATTGAAAACACAATAAATAAATAAAATACTAACAAAAATGTGTATTGTAGTTTGTGCTAATTACCTGAGCTTGTCAATTTATAAATTAAAAAACAATAAAAAATTGACGGTCACAAAGACTGCAATCGGGACTGCTTTATGGATCTTCACCCGGGTGATTGAGGGCTAAACGAATCAAGCAGAACGATCAAGTTAACTTATTTTTAGCTTAATCTTATTTTTATGCTAATAATTAAAGATTTGTATTCGTGTATACTGAATAGTACTTAATAATGCTTTCGTAATAGTAATGTAAACGCGTGAAATGAAGCTCGCAACCCATCTTATCTGAATTTAAGCACATGTTGTTCACATACAATTATGCAATTTTTCCACTCTAACGTTTCTCACTCTAAGACCGAGTTATCACACTCGCAATAAAAAAACACTCTATCGTCAACAGGCAAATCACCGTTATTGCAAAAGAGGAAAACGTATAAGAATTATATGAAAAAAATTAAAAAAGAAAAAACAAACTTTGTTTATCGAGCAACAAATAATACACATCTTTAGTAAGTGTAAACTTAAGTCAAGAAGTAGAACTTTATTAGTCATATACTGAATGTATGTGCAAAATATATATATATTTTTTTAAAATAAAAAATTAACAACACATTTATAATTCGAATTGAATTCAATTCGAAATCTCTATATCG